TTTCTATGTTGTAATATAATAATACAGCGTCGAAATTAGTTGTACTAAAACTAGTGTAAAAAACACTTGAGAGATACTTGCTATCAGCTTCGTCAGCACTAAATCTTTTTATCAAGTAAACTTTTAATCTTGCATTAATACCCAGTAAGTAACCAGTAGGTACCCATAAAGCTAACCGCAGAAAAGTAATGAATGGGCAGATTAAACGGAAGTAATGGAAATTCATGTTATGAGATACCACTAAGGCTACTTTTGGCATAGTCCTAGCGTGAGTTATAAGTGGTCTAGCATCCCACCCACCCATCATAGATAGTGACGCTAAAGCGCTCTAAGAAGAGACCTTTCGTTTTAGACACTGAGGCTATTAGGATCGCGTAATAGCCATCCACCGCATATATTTTTCTGCGGGGCGGCATCCTTTGTTTAGTTTAATTGGAATTTGGAATAGCAATAACCACAAGGCAGCTCTGTTTTAGGTTGAAGCCATGCGGTTTGTCGACAGACATTATAAATATTAGTGAAAAGTACATTTAGCTAAAACTGATCACCGAATCTTACAACATTTGAAGCTTTCAAATATGTAATATTTGGCATGTACTGAGTCTTAAGAACAATCTCTTCTCAGAAGGTGTTACTGAGAAGGAATTACGGTTATAAAAGATGGTATCAATGACAACATTGTCGAAAAGAACGTCAAAGCCCTCACTAAAAAAAAAATATTGATAATCACTAATTAAATTAAATGATCAAAAAATTTTAATTCATCCACAGAAGCTAGATAACTTGGGATGTTTTCATGGTTCCATTGCGAATATATAGCAACATAAATTACCTTATCAAACAACGCAGAATCTTTAAACTGAAACTGAAATTATATCTTAAGATGAAGTCGGAAATAAGCTTTTGACAAACATCGATTTTCAACATATGTGTTAGCTATTGAGATATCTGCTTTTGATATCAATATGTTATTAACATCTGCAAAGTCCATAGTAATTGATCCCTATATTAATAGGGATCAATAAATTTTATTTCAAAACAACTAAATCTTCACCGCCAAATTTCGTCACCGCAGCTAATTGCGTTTTTGAGATATCGTGTTGGATATCATTTTGTGCATATTTGTACACAGACATAAACCTAAAGTCGAAATTAACAGTTATATAAAAAATCGAGATCAAATTTTTATAAGATTACAATACTTTCTCTTTAAATACTTTGTATATTATAGAATGTAAAAAATGAAGAGTGAAGATCTATTATATTAATATCTACAAAATATTAGTTAATGGAGAAATTATGAGGTTGGTTACAGTAAAATAAAGAAAAATGCAGTTTTTAAAGGAACCCTCGACTTTCGCGTTACCACAAGTGCCTATGAAACACTTTGCATTCTCATTTTGTAATTCTAGAACACAATTCTTAATTGATAGCAGATAGCATTGTAACTAAAGCCGACATTTACTAGTTTGGTGAATAATGGCATTTTACATAATAGACGCCAACTCTAGCAATGGATGTTCTGCTTGGCATATCTCCTTTGCATTTGCGTATAGAGAAGATGGCTAGAACTACCATTTACAGGTTTAAGCAATATGCTCAAACTGGTCAGTGATATAGTACTATCAATGCCGTCAGATTTAACGGGATCACTACCAGTACTGGATGGCCGTACAATCAGTACTGGATCGAAAACGAAAATTCTCTGGTTCAGGATGATATTTGCATGTTCACAGATAGATCAAAAACGCCGGAAGGGGTCAGGGCAGGAGTATACTGCCAGACACTTCGGATTAAGCAAGTTCACAGCCTGGGTACGTACTGTACAATATTGACGGAAGTATTTGTTATTGTATTTGATATAATGATGGAGATTTGCAGGGAGTTTTACACAAAACTAAGTACTGTACTGTATTCCAGGCGGAAGTATTTGCTATTAACATGGGTGCTAAAATCCTTTTTGAAAGAGCGGTGAAAGAACATGACAGTACGATTTTTCTCAGAGAGTCAAACCGCTCTCCAGGCACTGCAGACCGTGAAAGCGGTGTCGGCTCTGGTTAATGACTGTAAAAGAACTTTAAACAGACGGAGTTGTGATAACAGAGTTTTTCTGATTTGGGTCCCAGGTCACTCTAGGGTTGCTGACAATGAAGCGGCAGATAAGCTAGCACAAGAGGGCAGCGCTAAAGTGTTTGTGGGGGCAGAGCCAGCAACGGCTTGTTGTTGGTGTATCATTTGCATTGGCCAAACATAGAATTGGACTGTGGGCTGAAGAGAGACTTCGCATACTGTGGACCAGTTCTCCTGGAATGAGACATGCTAAGTCGTTTATTAATATCGCCATTGTCAAACCCGAGAATATTTAGGACGTGCTCGGAGCGGCATTAAAGTTCTAATTGGTGTCTTTACTGAGCACTGCCGATTAAAGACACCTCACGTTGTTGGGTCTAGCCGACTATGTGCGGAGAACGAGAAAACGGTTGAGCATGTTTTATGCCACTGCCCTGCTGTTAAACGTATTAGATTCTCGATTTTTGGGTAGCAGTTTATCTCCCCAAAGGATCTCAACGACTTTTCACCAAGCAAGGTATTAATGTTCGTTAAGAGCATTAAATTTGCACGGTAAAATCTGATAATATTATCTATCGGTGTACAATATATCTTTGAGGTCGCGGTGCAAGGTTGGTTGGTCCGCCTACCCGATATGTATTCTATGTAATGTAATGTAATGTTATCTTTGAGGTCGCGGTGCAAGGTTGGTTGGTCCGCCTACCCGATATATAATTTATGTAATGTATGTAGCTTCTTTACATATGGGTGAGTTGCGTTTCGAAGAAATTCTACAAAATTTAGATATGCGATCAGCGATCACATAATTAATTAATCACAGCCCATGGGTAATTCATTTTCTGTAGAAGCAATAGAACCGTACCATCATAGCATTCATAAATAGAAACCTAATTTATCTTTAAGATTATTTAAGGTTATTTAAGATAACCAGTTATCTTAAAATGGAAAATTTCAACGTTAATTTTCACCACAAATCCATATACATAGAGAAAGATCGTAATTGTGCAAAAATTCGACCTCGAAATTTTGATACATTCATAAGTCCCTGAAGCCATTCTAACTATTTTTAGCATTATCTCTCGTATGTATGTAAACACGATAATTCAAAAACGCAACTAGCTGCAGTGAGGAAATCTCGCGTATCTGATATAGTATTTTTTATACAGTGTGTCCGTAAAGTAACGGATATAGGTGATAAAATCATTATAAACGGTGTATGGAAAAATCCATGAAACGGGTCTAACGATTTAAATTTTTTGCAATTTGGTGCAAAAGTTTGGTGTAGATTTTGAATTTCTTCCACCCTTTTTAAACGAGTTATGACGTCATCGATATATTTTTCAAATGGCAATCCCCCATTTTTTCCGAATCTAGTACAGTCAGCATTAATATTGGTTACATAAGAAAATTTTCGAGAAAAATTATTTTAAAGTTTAAGTACATCAAATTTGTTGAAGTAGTTACAACCCAACCCAACCTAACCAATTATTTTCAACAATTTCCTAAGTATCAAAAACTGATTTAGTAAGTAGTTGACCTCTTTAATACAACATATATGCTGATCGCCAACCCACTAGCCAAAGTATAGTGAGCCTAGCTACTTCTCTAAGTCTGGCCTATCAAATGTTTCAGGGGAGGTTCAACAAAACGTGATTTTGGCTGAGCAAGAAAACCCTCATGTTACTGTAAGGAGTATTGGGTCTAATTAGTAAATCGACGGTACACAAAATTTTAAAACCCGCAAAATATCATTCCCATAAAGTAAACCTCATTCACGATCAATCGTAGTTTTTGTAACAACAATTTTGCAACGATGACGAAGATTTTGTCAAAAACATAATTTTTTCCGACGAAGGAACATTTACGTTGAGTGGACAACTAACACAAAATTATCGGTATTGGGCTACTTAAAATCCAAATTAGCCAAGAATTTTGATTTGAGGAAACCTTAACAGGAAAAAGATGTTTACATTTTTTCAAAACAATATCATTTCCTTCATTCCGATAATGTTGACCCAACTCAATTACAACGGCAATTATTCCAACATGATAGAGCGCCACCTCACTTCAAGAAGCTTTACTAAATCAGTTTTTGACACTCACAGAAATTTGAATTAATTAAACTGTAAAGTTGTTTTTCTTGAAAATTTTCTCATGTAACCAATATTAATATTGACTGTACTAGATTCAGAAAAAAATCCTCTTTCATATTCCGTAATAAAAATGGGGGATTTCCATTTGAAAAAAATATCGATTACGTCATAACTCGTTTAAAAATGACGAAAATGTTTAAACCTTTAGACCCGTTTCAGTGATTTTTCCATAAACCTTTATAATGATTTTATCGCTTATATCCGCTACTTTACGGACATACTGTATAATCTTGTACAGTAGATAGATGCAAATGATTAAAATGTTGCATGTGGTTTTATAATCATCATAAACATTCCGATATAAAATTTCAAATTGCTTAACCAGAAATGTTTAGAAATTACAACGTTTTGTAAATATTATTGGTTTATCAGTTTAATTTATTAATCAAAGCAATAATTTCCATTCTGTGTACTATTTAGTAATTTAATTATTTTATTGTTGGCCAACCTTAGGTTGCCATGGAAATATTGTGACAAATTTAAAATAATTGTGAGGTTATGTTAAGTGTCAGATTTATAGGAATGTGTAAACTGGTCATATCTTACAGCAATAATTCGATATTATTAAACAAAACTAAATATAGATAAATAAATTAAAATTACATAATAAAACTTTAATTCAATTTGAAACTAATCAAAATTATAATGACAAGATAATAACAGTTTGGGCTACGTTCATTAAAAACTACTTAGAAAACCAACTTAGCTTAGTTTAATTTACTTAAAATACTCTATATTTGATTTTTATTAATTAAAATAAAAGGAAGAAAAACTTACGAGTCGTTTATCTTTATTTTCTTGTGAAGATACATCGTTTGGAATCTTTTTGCAAATAGCGGTAAGGGCACTTTTAAGATATTCCACCTTCCGTTCGGCTGCCTGTAATTCCTCATAGTTAAGTTCTTCAGTTTTTTCTCCCCTAAAAAATTTAATATAAATTAAACAACAATTTATTTTATTTATGGAAGAATTTGCACTTATAAGATACATTTTTATTAAAATAAATGTTATTGCTAATAAAATTAAGGTTGGTTTGTTTGCAGAATATTGCACACTCTAGAAATACAATGTTTTTATAGAGATAAGCCGCGATATTTTGACTAAAAAAAGATGAGACACTGAAAGGTTTTTTTTTTGAGTAAGATAAGGGGGATATTTATTAGAAGGCGTTTATGTGAGAATTAACGTGGCTAATTCTTTCAAGAGGAAGCGATAAGATTTTTTGCTGAAATAAAATGAGAGAAAAACAACGCCCATTTACTTAAAGAAAAATCGTCGACGTTTTTTCTCGTTTTATTTACCTGAGAAACGTTTGATCTGCGAGCTGTTTGACGCGGAAAAATTGCTTCTTCATACTTTATCAGAGGTTCATCAGTACTATTCTAAAGACGATTTCTGCACAACTGCCCTAACCTCAATGCGACACTACTTTAATTACTTTATCACTGATAGCGGCACATTGATAATTATTATTGTCGTTTTTTATGAGATCATACCAAAAGAAAAAATAACAAAACCAAACACTGTCACAGTAATGGTTTAAATAGATATAAGAAATCACGAACACGGGTATTCTGCGGGAAATGTTTGGTTGTTTTAATTAAATAGTCCCGCAAACGCATGTATGATTCACTAATATAAAAATAAACCTTATTCTAACAAAACTTCTACAACACTCAACTGTGGCGACATCACTAAAATGTGAGTTGACTATTGCTCTTTTTGAAATGGTTACGTTCCAATGTAAAATCGCCCAAATTCAGCGTAATTTACTTTTAATTTACACTAATTGACCTTAATTATTTGTTTACTGTTGATACTTATTGATGATTAGTCATAAATATTTATTTATTTAAATTGTATTAATTTTTAAAATTTAAATGATCTATCTTAAGAACGTATTCACTACAAATAGTTTAGCTGTTGGATATTAGATGGCATCACTGCGACATTATTCTTCGCTAAGATTGTTGGCGTATTGCCAATTTTAATTTCGCGAATGTTCTAAATTTACCGGATAATTTTCCAATTAATTCGTTTTATGCGAATAAATTGACCTCAATATTCCTTTTAAGGCTTGCATCTAACATCTTAAGATCCCCCACCATTCTTTTATATGTAAAGTGATCCAATAGATATTTATAATTAATAAGATAATTGATTTTTTTACATTTATTTATAATTAATACTTTTTTAATATCTTTATTTAAATATTATATTGTATATATTATGTATATTGTGTTGTATTATATGTTAAATTAAGCGTTTCCTTGAAAATAAAGAATGAGTCTCCAAAAAATGAAACCGAATATATTTATAAATGTATAAACTAATTTTTAATTTTTGGTTATTTTCTTATTATTCTTTTGCACTGCTTTTATTACGTTACACATAATTTATTTAAAAATTAGAACATTTTTCAATGCGACATCTATTATTTAATAAGCAAACTTTTATAAAAAAAGAAATCGATTGGGAGTGTAGTTTTGGTTGCCTACTATACAACAAAAGCGTTTCAAGTTTAAATTTTCTACGTCCTCATCGTCATTATCCCAATTTCTTGAGAAATATCTAGACCGGTAGCATTAAATACAAAATCGTAATATCATTCCTCCTTTTTATTGTTTGTAACAGACTTCTTCATAAAACCTTTGAAATGTTCAGAATCCTGACACATTTCTGCTACTGTAGATTTCTTAGACGTATTTTTGAGAAATCTATGCAACTTTTAAGCGTATTAACTACTTATTTGTTAAGCTTCTTTTATTCTATCAAGCCGAAAGACTGATTGTGTGGTTAAAAGCTGTATGGTTCTGGAAAAATGTGCACCAACATAGTGTTTTTGTTTTGGGTAATGCAGTTATCAGAAATTAGATATAGTTCACCAACCAGATATAGTTCGTAATAGTATAGAAAGGGTGTGTGGTAAAAGCATGGTTTGTTGGTAGTTGAAACAAATAGAAGCGCCACCGATTTTTCATTTTTGGTAGATCAAAGGATAGATCTACCAAAAATGAAGCAAGGTGTATAATGATACCGCTTTTGACAAATGGAGAGACTTTTCCTGTTGCAATTTGGATTTTGCTTCATTGTTTTCTTCGGCTCTAATATAATTCAGTAAGTTATCACATTTTTGACAGATATTCCATGTAAGGATAACTTACATTGTGGTTTTGTCTTATAGTTAAAATGTCGATAATAAAAATTATATGGAACTTTTGGATTTACGATTCTTTCATATTCAAGAAGCTTATACTGCTATTTGGCAAAATATAACCTATGCAATTTTGTTATATTTAATTCAGAAGGCAAATTATATCATTTTTGATTGAAACTCCTGCTGTCATTAATAAATTAGGCTTATTACTGTTACTGCGCCTTCACTAAAAGCCATATAACGTAGTAGTTTGCAAAATGGTGTGGTTAAGTGTCAAATGCTTTTGAGTAGTCTAAAAAACCACAGCAGTACTCTCTCCCTCGTCAGCAGCGGACAATATATCATCAGTTAGATTTAACGTTGATGTTGTGCAACTATACCTTCATCGAAAACCCGATTGTTCTGAAGGGGGCAAACTATTGGTTTCCATATACTCTACCAATTAAGCCTTCATAACCTTCTCTAAAACTTTAGGAACAACAGGGAGAATACTTAATGATCGTAAGTCACTATACTCTCGTGGGTTATCCTTTTTGAGCAGAGGAATAACCTCTGCGCGTTTCCATTCCAAGGGAAAGACATGGTCAACTAAACAACAATTCAGTATGTGGGTCAAATATGGCAAAATGGTGGGGCAACTGCAAATGGTTTGATCATCTCAATGGAAATTCCAGCAGTACCAACAGCAGGAGATGTAATAGATGCAATCACGTTAGAAACCAGAGAGATCTCCACAGTCTTAAATGAAAACTCACTGTTATAAGTAGAAGAACTATACAGATCAAGGTCAGAAGCCTGCAAATATTTAATAATGTCCACAAATTTACACTGCCCACAAAATAATCATTAATCTGATCAGGATGTTTTAAATTTAAAGGTAAACAAGATTTTTAATGTCTAAACTTGGTTTTTGCTTCATTTCTCAACTTAATCATTAATTTAATATTATCAGTCACCCAAGGTGCGGGAGGGTTGGTAAATCGACATTGTTTTATTGGAGCGTGAATATCAAATAAATCAATTAAGGCGTTTGTAAAGAAAGAAACCTTGTCGTTAATATCAGTTAATATAAAATTGAATGGAATTGATTATAAATGACGCAGAAAAGATACACTATCAATACGGCTTAATAGTCGTAGAGACTTAAACACTGGAGATTGTCTACCTACATTCACACCAACATCGCAAAATACCGTATCATGATCAGACAAATTGTACGGGAGCACTCCACTGCGAAAAACCAGAGTCTTTTCGAACGTTATCAACAAGTCTATCAGTGAAGTCGTTCTAAAGGTAATTCTTGTAGGTGCATCAATCAATTGTTGACCTCCAAGGGAATTTAGCAAATTCAACAGATACTCACTATCGGAATTATCCATATTGATTAAATTAACATTAAAATCACCGCAACATATAATTCGATCAGTACAGCTCAGACAACTTACAACCGAATTCTCAAATTCATCCAGAAATCCTCTGTAATAAACAGCGGGAGGCTTATACACACATCCAACACACAGACATTCGCAACCAAAACGGACTTTTACCCAAAACTGCTCAATCTCGAAAGAAGACGGAATAATGGAGAACTAAAAAAAATTATGTAAAACAAAACAAATTTCGCCACCTCTCGACCCCCGATCTCTGCGTATCACATTATATCCATCCACATGAAAAGTGTCATTATCCTGTAGCCAGATTTCAGACAAGGCCAACACATCCATATTAGTATCAGCTATCAACATCCTCAAGTTTTCAATTTTTGATCACAATGATCTGATATTTAAATGTATAATCTTTAGAAAATTTCACGCTATACCGTATAGAGAAAGAGTATAAGAAAAATAGTTCTGCTAAATCTGACGAACTTGCAACATCGAGGCCAAATTGCAAACAATTTGTGTTTTTAATGAATACAATAGATTACGTTTGTTTTTATTTTATTTTTTACTCGAAAATGTGAACAATTATTATCGCGACATCTTTTATTTAAAATTCAAACTTTTATATAAATGATTTCTATGTAATGTAATGTTGGTTCTCTACTATGCAACAATTCATAATTTTAAAAATTGAAAATTAATAGTTGTTCACAGTAAAAAGTATTTTGCAAGAATTATTTATATAAAGTATTAGTAATAAATTTTCTAAATAATTTTTCAATCTACTTACATACAAGTTGTGTTCTTTAAACTCATTATTTAAATTTTCATCTAATTAAAAAATTACTAATTTGCATTCACCAAAAAAAAACATCTTTGTTATGTTTGTTTTGTATACGAATTACAATAAATATTTAAAAATCGACTAATTGTAAGTAGGTATACATCAAACCTGAATAAATTTATTTTTTTTATACAAGCTGATTCATAAAAACTGAAATGTTGAACATGACTACTATTCATTCTATTATAGTATACTAATATAACTACCGTTGGTATTTTTTTTTAATTTCTCAATATATACAATTTTTAAACCTTTAAGATTATAAACATAACAGTTGCAAATTTTTTAAAATATTCAATGAAATTTCAAAAATTTGAATAAAAAGTCTTTCAGAAACACCTAAATATTACAAAATTATTTAACACATTTCTCCAGCAAAATCAGCTTACGAATAACACTAACTTCCTTTTATAAAGTGCCGTTTATCATTCAAAACCTTATCAATAAAATGTTAAACAATTACGTCATTGATAAAAAACTGTTAAAAACGTTCTTCATGCACATCGTCACACTTTTCGGCCTTGAATGCCGGGCGCATTATCACAGATGTCAGCACAGACACGACGTCTTTCAGTTCACTCGCCGCCGAACAGTGCACATGTATAAAACAGATTGATTAGCGCGGGGTTGAACCAGTCGCGTACAGGTGATTGTTCGTTCGCCGAGTTCTTTCAAAGGTGAATGTAAACTATCGTAAAACCGGGCAGAAGAAAACTTTTTGGTTTTAAATCGTGTGTGAAATATAAGAACCGACCGCTTTAAATTTAAAAACGATGGCGTTGAACAAAGCTTTTTTGAATGTAATCTTATTGGGGTTCGCTTTTATGCTGATTTTTACAGCATTTCAAACTCAAGGAAATATTCAGGTTAGTTTATTTAAGTGTTAAGGGTGACAGTAATGATTTTATTTTATTTTTTTATTTGTCAAAGAAAATAAAAGTTTTAAGACATAAGTATTTAAAAGATTGAAAATTCAGGAAGAGTAATATCATAAAAAAGAAACTTTTAACGTGGTTCACTTTATTTTGTTGAGCTCAATAAATGAAAGTACTGAATGTAAAGAGAAGTTAATCTGTTTACGAGGTTAAAAATAGCCGAAATTCGGAGTTGTAACGGTAAATATTGTATACTGGTTTTCGGCGCATACCTAAGTTAATGTTTTCGTGTCTACTTACTGAACAATTTTGGATGAAAGTTTCTAAATACTGTTTATGAAATAATAAAATAGAGAATATATACAAAATACAAATACCATGTTTCTATTAAGTGCCTAACCTGGAATAATTTGAAAATTGTGCTATTTAAATTACTAATTTATTACTACTTATTTTACTAACAGAATGGGTCTTCATCTACTTATTAGTAAGTTTGCCAAAATGTTGCATCACGTATAATTTAAGAGGTTTAAAGATGTTGACATTATCTCTTCTTCAACTCCATTATCTAAGAATATTTTACTTAAAATTTGTTTTTTATGTTAATTTGGGATCATTTCATTGTTCGCAACTTTTACCTTCTTCAATCAAACAGTAACAACCCATTTTAAAGATATGAATGAATATTATCCTACGCACATTAAAAAAAATTGATGCTATATATATACGCAAGGTTACCAGCTGCAAAGGACGCCTTCTTTGGAAACGATTCTCCCTTCCAGTCTATCATTTTTGTTATTTTGTGTTACCTCTCAAGTGGTTTTATTAGTTGTAGAAAATTTATTGTTGTGAAATATAGTCCTATACTCGCATGAAATGATGCTGTTTTTCTGGTTTGCTTGCCCATCTTACTTACACTTTTTGAAATACCATGTATGAACCCTAATTTGGTTAACCATAGCGATGATCAGCTTGTTCAGTGTCGCTTAAACTCTGCCATCCATTATTTGATAGTTGTAAACAAACCAGCAGGGTTCTTCAGAGGAGGATCTATTTAAAGCAATCTTTGAAATAATAATGCTGTATAGTATAACTCCTACTGTGCAGTATAGATGGTTGTCAAACAAATACTAAACTAATAAAGCTTTATATGGTTGATACTTTTCAAATAATATTTGTTAGGGTGCATCAAGGTGCCTTAAACAGAAAGCGAGCATTCTTCTTTAACACTGTATTGACTTTGATTAACATGATAATGATTCTCTGGTAACCCATGCTTTATATTCAGAAGATTTAGAAGATAGGATTGGTTGTAAGTTTTTGAAAAAAACCACTACACTAATTATTTAAGCCATCGGTGAAGAAATAATTTTAGCCACAAAACGACTACACAACAAAATGTTTTTGGACACACATTTTTTATTTGTAAAGTTTTGGGAGTTTATTGCACTGTAGAACTTCAGACATCAACGATGTCTGGTGGAAAGAAGCAAAAAAAAAAGATGTTGAAGGTTATTGTTTGATGTTGAAAGTGGTTTATCTGTATCTAAATCCCTAAAAGATTAAACAAAAAGTTTGTATATCCTAACTAAAAATTTACTGCTAACCAAGAGTGGGAGAATGCTTGTTTAATGATGCTGTTGCTGAAAAATTTAAAACAGATTACGAACAATTTGTTTTATCCAAGGAATTGACATACGATCAAAATAATGTTGACGAAACTGAGCATAAATGAAGCTTAAAATGTAGCTAAGGGCTACAAAGAAAGAAAAGGTATGCTAACAACTACTATAGCTTTTAGCGATGCATCAGAGAAATATGTTTCTTCTTGTCATTAACGAAAAGAGTTGATTCTCGAAATTGCTTTACAATATAGCTGTTTGAAAAACGATGATTTTGGTTAGGTTGGGTTGGTGTAAGTAACTGCAAATGATTTTCTGCTATTTATGTTAACGACGGCATAGTGCACGAATGATAGACTAAAGAAACAATTGTGGCACATTGCACATCTCGAGTAGACAATGAGGAAGAAGATGACGTAGACGCTGAGGGAGCTATTGGATTAAAAAAGTAATGTAGATACAAGAGGATAACGCACGATGGAGTATTTAATAAGTTACCACCTAAAGTATGAAGGGTTTCATAACCAGTGTTAGTTCTAGTTTTAGTTTAATTACCAACTAAAATTCGTAACTTTTAGTTTGTAGTAGCTGCATGATAATAACTCAATGTCCAAACATTAAAAAATGGTGGAAGACTAACAATACCAACAATACCAAATTGTTCAACTAAGCACACTAGAACACTAAATTCTTAGCTAATCTTACCTATAATACTGCAGATTCTATTGAAATTCATAAAGCTGAGATTGGACTGGAGAAAAAAGAGATACATACAAAATTTAGTATTACTAGCCCTCTATAACCAACACAAAAAGGATTAAGAATCGATCAACACAATCGTTGTTAATTGCCATCACTACACTCTATAAACATAGTGTCCAGAAGAAACAAAACTTCTCACAAAATCAGTAATATTTCCTATTCTTTTAATTGTTGCGAGAGTGTTCAATATGGCAATAACAAGCTATGATATACAATGCTGCGATTTTTGATTGTGTATCAAATTTATGGGGCACATCAACATACAACAAGGATTCATTATAATCGTTATACATAAATATCGATCAATTGAAAATGAATCATAATAAAATTTTTATGTAATAACATGAACAAAATACAACATTTTTCTCATAACCTTCTACATCACCTACTTAAACGAAGAAAATAAGGAAAATAGGCCTACGACGAGTTCAACAATGTTCCAAAACTTCTATCGAAATAATTAAAATGCCATAAAATGCAGAATTGATAAGGATTTTTACCTATTTCATCTATGGGATTAAAAAGTTATCTATGTTTCTACACCGAAAGATATCAAAACACTTGTAATTTTAGTATCAATAATAACATTAGTTGATGTAACACAAACACTATTATCTCAGTGAACAATTCTTTGTTAATAAATGTTGTATCTTCTAACTCCCATTTAATAGGAATAAATTTGTTGACAATGAAATTATTATAATACCCTGAGCTAGCCTGAAATATTTAATTTTTTCTACAAAAAAATCCTTAATGTTATAAGTAGTTTTTTCTCTGAAGTAGGATTAATCAATATATACAGAACATTCAGTTTTAACACTTACTCCACCCCCGCATTACGTTATATCAAGGTTTTACGGTATTATATTTTTTATAGTTGTTTTCGATTAGGAAGGGGGGATCACACGTACACATTCTCTATAAATGACATAAATACCGTATGTCATAAACCTCAAAAGCAGTAAAGTGTTTGTTTAAGCTTTTATAACGTGGACATTTTATAATTATCTGATTTTTTTTAAATAAACTGGACGAAAGTTTTTATGTAATTTTAATTATTTTTACTGAATAAACGACAGTTGCAGAACGTTTTATATTAATGAATTATTATATTATAGAACATAACTCTTTTTATGTGTAATTGAATTAATTATGTAATAATATAATACTCGTAAAATTCGATTCATGATACACTACACAAGTTTATAGGCCAAGTTCTAGATATATCACCACTCGCGTTAGCACTATCTGGTTCAAATCTATTTCATATAACGGAAAAGAAAACTCGAAAACGATTGCAAAACTTGTTATCTTTGAAGTGGTTTTAATAATGTGCATAACTTTAAAATACGTCAAGTTTACATACACCGAAGTAATTTGGTAAATGTTAAACTTGTTAAACATCTTTCTTAATTATGTTTTTAAGTTGTTTCTTTTATGAAATTTGAAAACAATTAGTAATCAACAAAAAAATTGATAAAAAATAACATTATCACAAAAGAAGCGTGTTAGTCATTGTTATAGTTGCTAACAAAGTTAACAACTGTCACCTTATGATTCAATAATGTGATAAGTCGGTATAGAAGATAAAATAATTTTTTGATTATAAAATAATCGTTATTTAGTAAGAAATCTCTTTTACTAAAACCATTGTTATCTATTTAAGTTCATTTTCAAGTTATAATAATATTTTAAAGAAATTTTGGAAAAATTAAGTTATGTTCAATAAAACATAAAATTTATGATGAGGAAATATACAATTCTTAGCAAAACTAAAAATTTCTAAGAAATCTACCAATTCCAGTCACATTTGTATTCTGCACGAAAAATTAACGATAAATATAGCGATGAATATCATAGATGTTATTGTTGATCCTGTTATTGTTCTGTGGGCTGGGATAAATTATTTGCAAGTTCTTGGAGTCTTAACTTCTCTGTATAAAATTCCCTACTTGCACCATTGATTTATTCAAGTCTAAACAACAACATTAAGTGCTTCGCCTTTTTGTAACTGTTTTTCAGAATACCTAACTAACAGTCATTATTAAAGAAAACTATCGAATTTTCACAGAAGACTGCGTTCATCAATCATTGTATTGATATTTTGTATCATGCCACACATATGTCACGTTGGTCTCTGGATGTGAACACCGTAGATAAGTAGTTAATAGACGAATTGACATATTGAATCATAAACCATGATTATGTGTTTAAAACTTAGATTATTTATTCTAAAATAATCAGTGACAGAGATTTTTTTGCGACGAACACACTCGGTATCTCAACTTTTATTATTAAATTTGTTCCTTATTATGACCTTATTATATTGCAACAACAAATGAAAAGATTTTGTCAAATATCAGCACATATGTATATAGACAAAATGTGGAATAGTATATCAATTTATCACGTACTATATTATAATCAATAATTGTGATTTTCTTTTCTATTTGAAATTTGATTCCATCTCTTACATTTCTGCTGTGTTTTGTTGAAATTAATAGAACGTCTAGCATATTCCTCCATTTTTTAACAAGCACCAAATTCTTACTTTAAAAACAAATTCACCTTTCCTGAGTTTTATAGGCGAAACATGCCCTTGAAACA